GACAAGTTGGATAGTCATAGATTCAGTTTATAGCAAGATAACCTTCGAAGCAAAGACCTACAAGGAGGCTTTCTAATGACACAAGGTCTGTACAGACTTTAGCCACATCAAGCTGAAATGGACTGAAAAATAGAATAAACAGCAAGTATGACGCAACTGAATAAACTTCTGTAACACAGTTAGGATGAATTTTCTAAATTCTTTCCTTTTTATAGCAAGAATTCTACAAATGTTCAGGGTTGAGCGAGTTGCAAATTTAGATTAATACACTTTACAGTTTAAGATGATTCCCTTTTCTAAAGTTAAATATGAATTCCTTCCTTACAATATTGGCATTTCTTGACACCATGTGCTTGCTTTCAAGTTTTGGAAAACACATGTAGAAATTTCAGCGTACTGAAAAACTCTGTCAGCTTCTAATTCCTGGTGTTTAAGAACAGAGGAGTGCAGAAAAGCTGATGGATATACACACGGGCTAGAAAGGCCCCACACACGATGTGTTTCTTATATTAAAAAAAAAGTGTGTCTTAATCTACAAACGTTTAGACATATCAAACGGACATTTATGCAGACCTGTTCAGACAGCTGGACCTGTTCTTGGAGATTTTTGATGACCGCATCTTCTTCCAATGTGCTGCCCTCTACTCCTGAAGCTGTGGGCAGGGCATGAAGCTGCTTCTCAACAGACTCTCTCAGCTCTGCATGAAGCCTGGAAAAAGTATTCAGACTTAAGATGTTATGTCACATAAATAAATAAATTAACACCATGCATAGTTTTAAGTGCTAAATAAAATAGAACAACCTTCATTAGGTTAATTATTTCGCTGGAATGCAAATGGTCAAGATGCCAGAATTCTAATCAAAGCTCTAATTACTAGACAAATGAGCGCACTAATTACAGCAACCTGATTTGTGGTAGGTCATAGAAAATCAATCAGCCACTGAATGTAAAATAATTCAAGTAACAAATTCACACACACACACAATACTGAATAATGTCATATCTTATGACAGCTTTAACTTATTGAAAATATTAGTACATTTGTCATGTTCTGTTGTGCAACCAACTTCTTTATATATTAACATGAGTGGATTTATATATTTTTTTACCTTTCATTTTCCTTGACAACCCTCTCCAACTTCAATTTGACATCTGTCATCTGTGTCTGTACGTGAACACTGAGAGTCATTGATAACATCCCGACATATTTAATGCATCAGATGACCAAGAAATCTCAGGATTAAGATATTTATTTCCCAGCTACCTCTGTCAAAGTCTTTGACTTCTGAATTATCAGTTTAATAGATTTCAAGGACTTAAATCTATAAATCACATCACTTCATCAAGCACCCACCACCACACGCCTGTGTATTTGAACATTTCAGAAGAAGGATGTTTTATTATTTCAGTATGTTGTTTTGTTGATTTACCTGATATCTCTGCAGCTGTTCAGTCATTTCTTCCATGTGCCGATCATACTCAGCTATCAGAGGAGCCATTATACTGCAACACAGACAAATGATGTTTCAGTATTGGGGGAAAACTTTTTAAAAAAAATTTGTGTTCACCATAACTCTGTCTTGCTGAATCTCCAGTGAATGCTGCGTGTCTCTAACGTGTCTACAAAGTGGTATGAAACTGATGAACTGACCCTCTATCTGAGATCCAGGGCACAGGAGACTCGGTGCGTCTTTCCTCCTCAACCTACCAAACATAACGCATGTAAGGGGTGAGGGCTAGCAGTAGTTAATTGTATCAAAAACTTACTTTTCTTAGTTTAAAAATTAAAATAAAAAAAAATCACAATTTTTTTTTATTGAAGATGCCAAATACTTGATTAATTTTAGATGAGCTAAACTAGCATAAGTTTTTAAGTTGAAGATCATTCTACTGTACACACACATGACTGTGTCAGTACCCACCCAGACGATGCAGTAAATAAGTTCACAGATGATACCACCGTGGTGGGGCACATCTCTGGGGGCAATGAGACAGCATACAGAGCTGAGTTTCAGAGGCTGTCAGACAGGTGTGCGGACAACAATATGGGCCTCAATACCACCAAAACAAAACAGCTATAGTCAACTTTAGAAGAAAGAAGTCTGAGCTGCAGCCCATCAGTATCAATGGGGAAGGCGTGGAAATGGTATTCAGCTTCAAGTTCTTGGGTGTCCACTAGAGCAGGGCGATATGACCAAAAATATTTATCACGATATATATTTGAAAATTTGCGATAACGATATAACTGACGATATAATTGACACTAGACAAAAT